TGTTCCTCCTCCTCCTCCTCCTCCTCCTCCTCCCCCTCCTTATACTCTTCTCCAACCTCCTCCTCTCTGTTTTGTTTTTGAGATGCAACCCTGGCTGTCCTGGAACTTGCTTTGTAGATCAGGTTAGCCTTGAACTCAGTGTTCTAGCTCTGTCTTCATAATTCTGTGATTAAAGGCAAGTGTCACTCAGCTAGAGACATTTTCTTAATTGAGGCTCCCTACTCTCTGATGATTCTAACTTGTGTGAAGCTGTCGTTATAGCCAGCATACTAGGCACACATATAATTAAGCATGTGCATACATACATAAAAAATAAAATTAATGAATTAATTAATGTAATAGAACCTTTTTTCCAAGTTTCTCTTTCCTCATTGCGGTGGTTTGAATGAGATTACCCTTATAGGTTCATATGTTTGATGCTTTGTCCACAGTTGAGGCGGTGCATCACTGAGAGTGGACTATGAGGTTTCAAAAGCCTATCTCCATTCTCAATTACAGTGCATCTCTCTCTCTCTCTCTCTCTCTCTCTCTCTCTCTCTCTCTCTCTCTCCCTCCCTCCCTCCCTCCCTCCCTCCGTCTGTCCGTCCGTCCATCTGTCTGTCTCATGCTTATGGATCAGGATGTAAGATCTCAGCTACTGCTCCAGTGCCTGCCTGTCAACATGGACTCACCTCTGAAACCATAAGCCCCACTAAACTCTTCCTGCTATAAACTGTGTTGGTCATGGCATCTTATCATGGCAATGGAAAAGTAACAAACTTTTATCAAATTAAAGTTAATTAAATACAATCTAATTTGGGGGAGCTTTGCACAGTATTTTTAAATTGGAACGACTTTAGAACTCATTTAATGTACTCGTGTCATAGGCACTAAAGGGAAATCTAGAAAGATAAAGTGACTTGCCAGCTCATAAGGCTAGCAAGTTACAAGTGTCTTTTTACTGCATTATACAGCTCAACTGCTGGACATCTAATAATTCTAGTAAAGGTTACTTAAAGGTAGTTACTACCCACAAACATCTTCAGATCAAAAAGAACTTCCAAACAGTGCACACGAATGGGTGCACACAGAGACCAAGATAAGATCACACACACACATATACATGGTCCTAGAACATCTGGATATTCTAGATATGATTCTGCCATATGTAAGAATGTATCTTCTTTAGTAGTCTATATAATGACAATGAATTATCACTTCATGTTTTTGTCAAATGACATTATATACAGCTATTTTAAAGGTATTTTAATATTCTTTTTGAGGCTGGCCATGGTTATTCATATCTATAATTCTAGTACTTAGGGGAAGAAGCAGAAGGACTGTAAGCTCATGGCCAGCCTGAACTACATAGTGAGCTTGGGCTATGCAGTGTACTTCTAAACAATAAAAAGAAAATTTGGGGTTTTAAACCTATAAATCCTGAGAAGCTAGGGTTCCTTTGAGCTACTGGCTAATAGCTGACATGGAATGCATGTAATACCTCAGGAAAACATCCCAAAATGGCAAGGTAATACATGAATAACTCATTTGGAAAGCTAAATAACTTGAAAGTATAAAGAGATTAAATACAGGTACTAAAAGGCCATTCATAGAAACAAAGATCAATGACTGGAAAAGCCTCTGAAGTTTTGTTACTCCAGAGACTTTCTCCTTAGCTCAGCTAGTCTAATAGTTTAAATGTTACTGGTGATGTTTTTGTAAATATCTAATATATGAAAATAGGTTAAATCACATTTTGGTAGTAAAGCATGCTGCTATTGATAATTTAACTGTTAAGTCATGTGAACTTGAGCTGAGCTGGTTACTTACTTTACTTCTCCAAGCTGGGGTTCTTTTTTTTTTGAGACTGGGTTTCTCTACAGCCTTGGCTGTCCTGGAACTCACTATGTAGACCATACTGACCTCGAACTCAAGAGATCTTCCTGCATCTGTCTCCTGGGTGCTAGGATTAAAGGCGTGTGTCATCACCACCCTGCTCAGTTTCTTCCCTTGGCACAATGCCTGGCACATAGTTAAGTGCCAAATAATGTACTTCTGTAGTTATTATCATTGTTTGTAGTATTAGATAACAGAACTGAACTGTCACTTGAATTTACTAGGAAAAGCAGTTCATGTAACCCAAACAAAGGTAAGGTTGAACCAAAAAGACAATTTGTTAATTTACAGTGAGAAAAATGCCTGCCATGTGGACTGCAGTTCACATACCCAGGTCAAGGTTTTCCCCAGGAGGAAGCACAGGTTTAGGAAACTAGATGAGATTAGGTATTGGCTTGGGGAGTAGACTGAAACAAAGAAAGTTGACTGCTTTATGTCTGATTTCTCCTTCAATTTCAAACTTTCTCTCTCTCTCTCTCTCTCTCTCTCTCTCTCTCTCTCTCTCTCTTTCTCTCTCTCTTTCTCTCCCTCCCTCTCCCTCTCTCCCTCTCCCCCTCTCCCTCTCCCTCTCTCTGCTATAATTTAATGCTCCTAAAACAAGTACTATACTCACTCTTCTAATCAAACAAACCTTCTGACCTGGTGCTGACTACAGAATTGCCATTGCCACAGTTTTGAATTACCATATTACTATATTACTAAATTCTTTTGTGGGTTGTGAGGCAGAAACAGCATCTCAATTAATCTAGCTTGAAGTGACATGGAACTCACGATATAGCCCAGCTGGTCTCAAGCTTGTAACAATTCTCCTTGCCTCAGCCTTTCACTCTTTTTCACATATATGTAAATATTTACATATATAATATTTACATATATGTGATATCAGCTTAATCACCATAAATCTTAAACTTCTAAGGAGATAAAGGCCATTTTTGTATTTTCTCATAAAAACAAATTATTACACACACACACACACACACACACACACATAATATATTAAATATTGAACCTGAATAAATAAATGATGAATTAATGACTGTTCTGGGATATGCTGAACTAGCCTGAGTAAATCCAGCAAGGTTTCCTGGCCTGACATACTATAGCCTGTTATGTCTGAATTGTAAAGTTGAAGGCATGGTCATCAACCTGTTGCACTACTGAGAGATGGTAGAACTTTTAAGAGGTAGAAAATAATGGGATGACATTAGATTACCAAATGTGTCTCCTCCCCACCCCCACTCTTGTTCCTGGCCACCATGGGGTGCCACTTTGCTCTCCCCTGCACATTCCCATGATGTTCTGCCTTGACAATGAGTCAAGAACAGTAGAATCAACTTCTGAAACTGTGAGCCAAAATAAATCCCTTTCTTTTAAAGTTTATCTCATGTTTTGTCACCACACAGGAAGTGACTAATACATTCTCCCCCAGATTGTGAGCATCAAAGCTTCTCAGTGCTTTCCTCTTTAGTTCTGAAAATTACATCACAGGTTTCCTAATTGCTTCAGGAAGCTGATGTCTAACAAAGGAACATTCTCTTTAAACATCTCTTTGTTTCTGATTTCTTTTACTCTAGTAAACATGAAACAAGCACCCAGTAAATAACTTTGTAATTGGTCTCAATTTTCCAAATATCCCCAGTCCATCAGACATTAAAATGTAAACATGCTTTCCCAGAGTCTTACACACCAATTAACTGATAAAACTGCTGCTAAGGAAATTTTAAATTAAGTAATTCACTAAACAGTCATTGATTTTCTTTTAATTCTTAACAAATACCTTAGATGCCTTTAGTATTCTGGTGTCGTGAGAGAGCTGAGCAGTAGTCATCGTCACAGTGTGTCAGGATTCTTTCAACAACTCTAACCTGTTAAAAAATTAATTAGAGATGTGGCCTAACATAATACTTCCTGTCTTGTCTTTCCAAAGATAAAACAGAATTCTAAAATCAAAACTTAAAGTCAAGTAAGGTTAAGTATAGACTACTTCTCAGACTTGTCCTATTTGAAGAGAAATTTACCAAGCTCAATTTAGAAATCACAAAGGGAGAATGAAACTAAAATAGTTCTACCTGGCCCTATCAAAATTATGAAAATGAATCTGAATTAGAAAAATTCTTATTTTTAATTTTTCAAACGAGAGCTATATAAATTAACTAAATTTGGCAAGTAATTTTAACAACCATTTAAGTTTTCACTTCAAGCTTTTTCTGAATCTGGTATGAAGTCTCTGTATTAATTTTTCAACTACCCAATAAAAATTGTAAGATACTTTATTCATAAACATATTCTCAGAAGAAAAGTAAGTCATAAATCCCTTACAAACTTAACAATATATCTCATTCATCTTTGTTATTCCCTCAAAGAGTAATTGTCTTCTTGTGTACAGCAGCACTCAAAACACTTCTTAGTTAACTTCTGATTTGTTTACAAACCCAAAACCTATTCAAAAAAGGAAAACAGTAAGTGTTAGCGAAGAGGTTGAGAATTAAAACTCTTATGCACTGATGGCTGGAACATAAAGCAGTCCAGTCACTGTGGAAAACAGTATGAAGCTCCTCAAATCCTTAAACAAATTACCCTAGTATCCAGTATGACCATTTCTAAGTATATCGACAAAAGAAATAAACAAGGAAGGGAAGAAGCAGGGAGGGCCTCAAAAACTTGTACATCAGCTCTCATAGCAGCACTCTTCATCACAGTCAAAAGGTGGAAACCATCCAAATGTTTATCATTAGACAAATGGACGAACAGCCAGATGTAGTAACATGCATCTGTAGGCCCAGATACACTGGAAGCTAAGGCAAGGCAATCATCTGAGCCCAGGAATTTGAGGTCAGCCTGGACAACGTAGCAAGTCTTCATCTTGAAAAAAGAAAAAAGAAAAAGAGTAGATGAATAGATAAACAAAAATATGACATGTATAACGGCTACTCAATTTTTAGAAAAGGATAAAATTTTGGTAACATGCCACAATATAATTGAAACTTACAAGCACAATACTATGTTTAAAAAAAAAAAAATTGGGGTATTGGTGGCGCACGCCTTTAATCCCAGCACACGGGAGGCAGAGGCAGGCAGGATTGCTGTGAGTTTGAGGCCAGCCTGGTCTCCAGAGCCAGTTCCAGGATAGGCTCCAAAGCTACACAGAGAAACCCTGTCTTGAAAAACAAAAAAATAAAATAAAAATAAAAAATAAAAAAATAAAAAAGCAAAGCCAGGTACAGAAGTACCTACAATAAATTAAGCAAACATATGCAAACAAAAAGTAGAACTGAGGTTTTCAGGGCCAGAGTTCAATCGGATAGAGTTTCCATTCACTATGATGAAATGTCTGGAAATGGTAAATGGTTGGCATTTGTCACATGACATCTGAGCATTACAAGATTATACACTGAGAATACCTGACATGATTAGTTTCACATTATGCATAATAGATCAAATTAAAAAGTTGATGGAGTTGGGGGAGACCCAAAATTATACTCAAAGACTAAATCACCATTTTAAAAAGTTTTCAAAGTTAGGAATTAAAAGTGTACTTTTCACCCTTTTTGCTTCAGTGGAATTTTTTCTAAGTAAATCTTCCATTTTCTTTCTGAAGGCCTTAATTTTATTTCAACCAGGGTCTTATTTTAATAACCTATTTAAAGAAATTCCACTCTGGCTCACCCAGGGCAATCTGTTACCTGTTATATTAGCAAGTAAGGCAAGATTCTGGAAGATTTTTGCAAATAAGAGGTTAGAATTATTTGAAGACAGTGCCACAAGGTGGTGATAGAGACCATAAGCAGATAACATTTAATTTTTCTTAAATTATTTCTTCAAAACAGCACTAGGTGACACTACACAAAATTTTTTATGAGACTAAAATCTAAAGGTCCTTGAGTAGTCGTAAAACGCTGTTTTCTTTAGAATGTAACTGACAAGTCTGGCCCAGCACATCTGTTGCCTCCCTTACATTTTAAAAAATAAGAAAGGCTGCAGGGTGTTGGTGGCTCACACCTTTAAGCCCAGCACTCAAAAGGCAGAGGCAGGTGGATTTCTGTGAGTTCGATGCCAATATGGTCTACACAGTGAGTTCCAGGACAGGCTCCAAAGCAATACAGAGAAACGCTGTCTCGAAAAACCAAAAAAAAAGAAAAAGAAAAAAAAAGAAAGAAGAAGGAGGAGGAGGAGAAGGAGAAGGAGGAGGAGGGGGAAAAAAGAAAAAAAGGCTGGCTGGAGAGATGGCTCAGCAGTTAAGAGGACTGAGATTCAATTTCCAGCACCCACACAGTGGCTCAAAATCATCTATAATGTCCTACAGGCATACATGGAAATAGAGCACTCATACACATAAATAAATAAATAAATCATAAAGAAAAAAGAAGGAAGGAAAAGAAACGTAGGTATAAGGGCTTAAGTTTCAGTTCTAACCCATTAGAATATGACCTCTTACAGGGAAGCAATAAATATGAGTAACAATGTTTTCTAATTACTTTCTATATTGATAGGATTTCAGACAATTTCAGTATGATCATAATATATTTCTCTTGGCATGTCTAGAGAGCGATTCAAGACTTAAAAACAGCCATCAGTCAATTAGACCACCATGCACTGTTATGCACCTGTGTTTTTAAAATATATGTATGGCCCAGATTAAATTAGTATTATTGAAAACCAATACATCTGGGACTGTTGCATCCAAGAAATGATTAAAAATATTTATGAAACAAGTAAAATTAAAATTTATGCAACACAAATGGATATATAAGAAAACTAACAGTATAATCTAGTAGAAATAGACTTTGGGATTAAGTCTGAGTTCAAATTTGGATTCTACTACCTTGGAGTTATATAACTCTAGCTAAATTAATTCCTCTGCAATCTGATTTTTTTGTAAACACAACATAGAATGAATTTTTTGGATCTTGTTCAGTGTACATCTAGAGTAGTAACATAGGGTAGGGGTTAAACATTTGGATTTTCTGAAGCAAAACTGCCTAAGATCACATCTTAGTGTACAATTATTGATTTTGTAACCTTAGACAAGATGAATGCCTCAATTTCTCCATCTGCACAATAATACATGTAACAGTGACTATTTCACAGTTATTTCAAGGTTAAATTCATTAAATGAATATGTTACTTGGAACACCTTTTCATTAAGCATAACAAAGCATGCTTGCTTTAAAAACAAAACAAAACACCTATTAGTCTAATGCATTAGTCTCCCTTCTGGTGTTTCTCCAGACTCAAAGTTCCCTCCCACTGTCTTCCAGTCTTTCCTCCCTGACTATTTCCTTCCTACCATTTTGGTATTCCTCAAGCTTCTGTCCTAGTGTCTTCTATTTTTAACTTCTAAACATACCCTCTGAACAAACAAATACACTCTCATTATTTCAATTACTATTTCTAATGATTTTTATACGTACACCAGCCCAGGTCACTCTAGGAGGCAACTAAATTCTATCCATTAGACAATTCCCACTTTGATGTTCTTAGCACATCCAAATGTGAATCCTATCCAATGACTCATCAAATATTTAAATCACTCAATCTGAAAATGTATGACTCAAGTCTGCCTTCTTTTCCTATTTCTTTGTTCAGGCAACTTAATATTTCTTAAATGTGTCAACTACTCACTTTCTCCACATTATTAACAACTTCTATGGGGGGGGTCTTCTTTTGTTGTTAGTGTTGATGCTATTACTGTTGTTGGTTTTTTAAAATAATTTATTTAATCTCATTTAATGTGCATTGGTGTGAGGGTATTAGATCCCCTGAAATTGAATTTACAGACAGTTGTAAGCTGTCTGGGAACTGAACCTGGAAGAACAGCCAGTGCTCCTAATGCTGAGCCTTCTCTCCAGCACAATACTGCTGTTTTGATAGGGTCTTATTACATGGCCCCAACTTCCTGGAACTTGCAATATAACCCAGATAGCCTTGAACTTGAGGTGATTCTGTTGCCTCCACTTCTCAAGTGCTGTGATTGTAAGGGTGTACATGCTGGGCCTGTCATCTCTACTTTAGGTTAGATCAGCCTCATCTTCTAATTACTGAATTACTCTAACCACCCATCTACCTGTAGTTGTACTCAGCCATCTCTGTTCTGCGTTGCACACTACAGCCAGACTTTTCTAATTATAACCTTGATTATATATTATTATAGCTATCCCACTACCCTCAGAAAAACTGTTTGAGATGGTTACGATCTGCCTCATGCCTCCCTAACCTCTTTAGTCATTTCACTTGCATTTTTATGTACCAGACATTTGTATATAGTTTATCTCTACTCTCTCTCTGGCTTTCAGACTTTGGCCATACTCTCCTGGTCAGAAATACCCTCTTCTACTTCAAAGTCCTACTATCTACTGAAGATGGTTTAGTTTCTCAAGGAACAATGCCCTGATTTCTACTACCTCCTCTGCCAAATTCATTATGTTTCAATTGCAATGCATAGTATATTATACTTACTTTGTGTATGTGACTACTATGAGTTAAGAGTAAAATTATTTATATATATATATATATATATATATATATATATATTCAAGCTTTCTCTGGGGTTTTTTTTGGGGGGGTTTCAAGACAGGGCTTCTCTTCGTGTAGTCCTTAAAATCCTGGGACTCACTTTGTAGACCAGGCTGGCCTTGAACTCACAGAGATCCATCTGCCTCTGCCTCCCAAATACTAGGATTAAAGGCATGTACCATCACAGCCCAACTTTAAAGGTTTTTAAAAGTGCAATTCCAAGTCATATAACCATCAACACTATCTAATTCATTGCCTCTAAAAGAAACCCCATGTCTGTTAGTAATCACTCCCATTCTTGTCTTCTATCAGCCTATCAGCCCCTGGTAACCACTTGTATACTTTGCTTTGGAGACAGGGTCTTACCATGTAACCCAGGCAAGCCTCAAACACATGATCCTCCTG